AGTGACATGTTCTTTACCGGAGGTAGCAAATGATCTCCCTTATTTGAGTACATAGAAATCATATATTTTTGGAATTTGTATAAAGAAACCTATGATCTGCCGCCAGTAGTAACTTTGAGTAAACCGGAAGTGACTTATCATCAATGATTCTGAAATTAAATGATGGATAGACCTTCAATTGTTCTCTGAACAATTTAACTACTAATCAATTTTTCTTGCTTTTTTCCCTATAACACTACTCATTTTGTGTGCTATTTTTCCCTTTTTGTATTCAGTTTGTATTCACTTTAGGTTGTTATCTTTATCTTATATCTATCAATTATTGTATGTCATTTTCCCTTAATACTATAATTTTTGTGCGTTTTGTTTTTATTCTTACTGTTAAATATTCAATTTTTTGTAACTGTATTGATTTCAGAACTTTTAAAAGTATAGAATAAGAAGTACATAAAAGAATTCAACCTCAAACACATAAAGGTGTTCGAACAATTTCAAAACGTATTTAAATCTGTGATAGACAGACATCAGTCCAAAATGTATCAAAATGATGTGATTATTGGATGTGTAGTCGAATTCAACCTAGAACATACAGGTGTTCGAACAATTCTCCAATGTATTTAAATCTGCAATAGTGCACCACAACAAATCGAAATAAAATGAACCAATCAGTCACCAAAACATAAAACAATACAGGATAATAGGGATCTAAAAACCCTTTCCGATATTTTAATAAAACAAAATAATTACAAACCTTAACTCGCCACCTAAAAGATATATGTCCGCATTTAGGACACAACATATTAAAACACTAAGTGTCAACATTTGTTTAATGGCCTACTGCTCTGAGTTTGTTGCATAGTAAAGACATAAGTCTCCACAAACAAAAAACTATGCATTTATTGATTCTCATATGTCAATACACTTACTAAATATATTTTTCGTAGATACTTTTATTATTATAAGTACATGTATACCCACAGGTTTCAACCAAATTATTTCAGTTTTCTTTAAATTTCAGAATGTCAACAACGACTGGAAATATTCCTATGTCATCTCCGTTTATACCACAAGGAATGGGAATCCAACAAGTTCCACCAGTCGGACGACAGCAACAAGAATTTCCAGTTAGGACACTTAAGGTGTTTGGTGGTGTACAGATAGGTCTTGGTGTTCTTCTTGGAATTCTCAGTTTAATTGGAGTGATTTTGGATATAATTGCATGGAACAAATACGACAACTGTCGCACCAATTATTTCGACTATTACACTTATTATGATTATTATTGGATGTGTAGGCGATATGATGATGGTCACGCACTTTTTGGGTTTGACATAACTTGTCTAATATGCTCTGGATGGGTAAGTGAATAGTTTTAACTGTGTTGAAATTACACAATTGTATACCAATGCATAACAGCATTATATAGTTGCTATAAACGTTAGCCATATCTTTTAAACACACACACACAAATAGAGAGAGAGAGAGAGAGAGAGAGAGAGAGAGAGAGAGAGACTTTTTTTTCATAATATCTAATTATGTCAGTTAATGTTATTTTGCAAATACCTATGACCAATCCCTTATGTCAGTATTTAGTTGGAAACGCATCTGTTTTGTATCGACATTTGATAAATAATTATATACCTCGATCAGGGTTTAGCTGTGAAATTCCTTTAATGCGTTTCGATTACTTGTTAAAGTCATATGAAACGAGTTTCTTGTAATTCTAATGTTATCGAAAGTATTGAACCAATACAAGCATATATACTAAACTAAGTCCTGTATGGACGGTTTTCTTATAGTTATTACGAATCTATAACGTATTATCAACAAGGAATATGTCATTCAGTGAGTGTTGATCGCAAGCTAATTAACTTCCGAGTTTGTTGCCGAAGTTTACTTGATCGTGAAATTGATAATTAACCCAACATAGAGCAGTGAAGCACGTGGCAAATAAGTTAATTTATAGAGCCATGAATTTTATTTTTATTTTCCATGCGTTGCCGTTTGTTAATTTAACTTTTTCTTAACAGTTGTTAAATGTTTTGTTGTATTAAATGTGTTCTTTCAGAATCGATTATTACGATTTACCTTTCAGTGCCCGTTTGTTTACATTCTTTCATTACGGTTCCCCCCTCGCACTTGCTCTGTGCGGTGGCCGAAGTTCTAACGAGATGTCTCGTAGTTGGTCCCTGCATACGGAAAAATATAGGCGAATCAGTGTAACGAAAGACAATAATTCAATAACAGTACATTTGAAAAAGATTAATCTTTACAAGAAAGTTTACGTACTTGTTTTATAGTAAAACTTAGCCATTGAAGTATATAAATATTTTTTTTTCATTTGAAGTTTCATATGTTAATTGTGTGATAAAAAGTTTAGAACTGAGCCAATTGAATTTTTAGACTGGTCGTATGTTCAAGGAACAACTTTTATGCAAACAAATCGAAGATTTTCTTTCACTTCCGTCACTCGTAACTCGATAGTACATCAGAAGATTCCAGAATTTTGCCATTTTTTTTTTACTACATAAAAACGTGATTTAAATTAGTGATAACTGGATATATGAAAAAGGTAATGTTCCATTTATCGACACAATTAATTAAGAAAGGAATAATACCAAGATATACATTCATATCAAGTCAACTTACGATATTTTGCATTAAATACACTTCTATTCCACATATCCACCGTCTAAACCGTCCGATTCTGGACTGAATTTGAATCATCAAAAAACAACAGACACCCAAATTGAAATCAACACTTAATTTCGTCTAAGACGGACAAAAAACTGTCAACAAATGCAAATGTGGTTCTGCCTTTTTATCTCAATTAGAAGAAAAATAAAAGGCACAGGGGAACACAACAAAAATCACAGACCCAATGAATAAGATTACAAGGGCAAATGGGGTGTACGTCAATGAGATAGAAAATCAACGACAAAAACAACTTACAGAAAGCAAAAGGGCAACATACAGTTAAAAAAAACAGCTGAGTTTTCCTATGATTTTGCTTATTGATAGATTTAAACAGAGACAACTGATAAGTTTCTTAAAGGTGGACAGATGTATTATGATGATGAGGCTTTTGATGGAGGACCGACGTTATATTAAGGCTCTTGAGGGAGGAAAGATGTTTCATGTTGGAACTCTAGATGACATGCGTATTACGATGAGACTCTTGACAGAGTACAGGCGTATTTGATGAGCCTTTTGACAAAAAATATGCGTATTATGATGAGGCACTTGACGGAGGACAGGCGTATTATGATGAGGCTTTTGACGGAGGACATGCATATTATGATGAGGCTCTTGACGGAGGACAGGTGTATTGTTATTAGGCTTCTGACGGATGTCGGGCGTATCATGACGAGGCTCTTGACAGGGGACATGGTATTATGATAGGGCTATTTACGGTGGACAGTTTTATCACGTTGAGACTCTTGACGGAGGACATGTGTATATCAATGAGGCTCTTAACGGTGGACAGGTGTATTATGATGAGGCTGTTGACGAAGGACAAATGTATTATGTTGTCGCTGTTGACAGATGGTAGGCGTATTATGTTGAGGTTCTTGACGGAGGACATGTGTATATCAATGAGGCTCTTAACGGTGGACAGGTGTATTATGATGAGGCTGTTGACGAAAGACAAATGTATTATGATGAGGCTGTTGACGAAAGACAAATGTATTATGTTGTCGCTGTTGACAGATGGTAGGCGTATTATGTTGAGGTTCTTGACGATGGACATGTATATTATGTTGAGACTCCTGACGGGGGACAGGTGTATTAAATTAAGATCCTTGACGGTGGACTAGTGTATAATGATGAGGTTATTGACAATGGATAGGTGTATTCTCAAGAGGCTTTTGACAGTGGACACGTTTATTATGTTGAGCCTCATGACGGAGGACGTGTGTATTATGTTGGGTGACTTGATGGTGGACAGGGTAATATTTTAAGGTTCATCTTGGCGGGGGACATGTGTATTATATTGAGGCTCTTGACACTGAACATGCGTTTTAAAATATTGTGCAGTATAACTAGTTTTATAAGTACTCAAAACTATCCTTCTTTTAATTTCGATCAGTGAAATAACAGAAGGAAAATATAAGAGCCAGGAGATAAACCTTACTCTGATTTATATATTGAACTTAAACACTAGTACATGAACAAGTGAAAGGGTAAAAAGTTTTTTTTCAAATAATACTCGTGCTACTGAAAGCAAGCCAAATCTTAAGATTTAGATTAGAATATTTTGTACATCATAGAAAATGATAAAAAAATGTGATTTTGAAGTTATTCTTAAACATGTAAGTCCCGAAACAAAAGCGATTTCAAAATTGATCTACCTGAATGAAAGGGTTACCATTACAATGTCGTTATAGAGTATATGTTGGGTTGGGACAGACAATATATCTCTTGCATTAAATCACCTACAGACCTTTAATTGATGAATTTTGTATATCATTTTTGTTTGTTTAACATGTTTAATTCTTACTTGCTTTAGGTACATTCATCTTTATAATATACTTCTAACAGTACGTAGAATGCGCATACACAATATAAACCAAAAACATCTATGATCTATATAACCATGTTAATTTTTGTAACTGTAGTATGTTGTTACTGGTTTTCTGCCTATGTTCATGTCAAGAAAGAGGATAGCGAGCTGGAGATGTCTGGTAGGCTTTTAGATAAGAAAGACTACTAATTTATTTTCTTTTAAAAAGTAAAAATACCTAACAAACATATTTTACAGTTATAGTTGATAAGTATGAGAATTGAAGTTAAACAACCATTAATTCTTTTTAAGGAATCGTCTACTGTAATGTTTGAATTCCTGATTGTGTTTTTTTGTACTCCAATATATAGTCAGTTTGTTGGTGAAAAGAAGGAACTAAACGATTTAAATCCATTTTGATTTAATGAATACAATTTTATTGTATGTACATTGTATAATGTGTAGTTATATGTTTTCAATGATTTGTTTTATTCAGAAAACTGGATTTATGGTGTGTAGCATAATAGGAGCGTCAGTTTTTGTTCCAACTATGTTCAGTCTTGGTGTAGTCGGTTCAGTTATAGTAAGTAATGCTGTTGCTTATTAACTTACAAATGTTAAATACATATTGGTTAGCAAATTGTGCACTATCGATATCGAAGTTTATCATTATCAAAATTTCAAGTTTGAATGCTTGCATTATATACCTTTACTAAAATTCTTGTTCTGTCAGGCAAATTTCAGCTTATACGCCTTTTGCTTTCGTTTTAGGTCTGCATTGGTTTAAATGCTTCCGGGGGTATAACCAGCACTGTAGTTAGTACTTCGTTTCTGCCATGAAAATATGGATATTGATTTTTAAATTTGCTGTGACAAAGTTTTGGAAGCTATTCTAAATTAAAGAATATATCTCCATCATGCAAAGCTCTGATTCCTTGCCCGGCTTTGTCTATAATTTTTTGGTTTATAAGATCTTAATTTTTTTAATTAGTTTTGGATTTTCAGGTTTTTGACCTCGAGCATCACTGAAGATGCATTTATTGTCGAAATACACATCTGATGCAGAACAATTTATACCGTTTATGTTATTCCAAACGTTCTGTATATATTTGTTTATGTTTAAGCCTACATGATAAATATGAAAAATAGGTTATGATTGCCAAAGATTATTCCAGAGAGATCAATTATACACACGGAATCGCTCTTTTACAGTTTTTGATTTATCGTTAAAATCAAAATGACAACTTTCTGTTTGTATTATGATTATGATTGATTGGTGGTGAACACCACTTTCAGCACTATTGTGCTTTTTGATGGGGTCAGTTTTTCATGGTGTAGAAAGCCGGAGTGCCCAATAATTGAAATTTAAATCTTAGAAATAGTTTGATCCTGTATTTTTTTGAATACATAACGTTTTAACTTGATTTATTATACAGTAATAATCAATTTTTAATTGATACATGACAATAAGTACCGTTTATTAATTGCTCATACTTATTATATTAAATATACGTCTAATCATGTGACATCTTTACGAAAGACACCACTTATTACATATACGTCGTCTTTTATTCAGCCCAATAATGTAAGATCTGCAAATATATAGTAGCAATGTTTTGATCTTTCCTCAGTTACCGCTCGGCCAGCTCAGCTTTATATAATGAAGCTTTTGTTTGCCAAGTAATGCCTTTCCTCTTCGGTTTTGTCTAGGCTAAATTTGTGACACGACCCTGATATATTGTGGAATGTAGATAGAATACTACCGATCAGTTATTTTTTGTCTGTCGTAAAAGATGATAATACATATATTCATATTGGTAATTTATTAAGTCTTGTTGGCCAAATGGTCTTGATCGGTAGTCCATGCAATGTTGCCTACCACACTGCCGAGAAGCATATATTCCAATACCATTGAGAGAAGAACGAAAAACTGCCATCGCAAATTTGCAGATCAAACATTTTTTTGTGCGAAATTGAAGACGAAGCACTTATGTATGTAATAAAAAAAAAATAATCCTTGTCATTTTCAGTTTGCTCGGTTTGCTATATTTTGACCACTTACACTATATTTCAGAGAGGCAATCATGATTCTAAAGCTGTGACTCTGTCAGCTTTCATGGCTGTGTTGTCCTTTGCAGAAGTAGTGGTCGCAGTCATTGCCGCTTCATTATGTTGTTGCTGTACCTCATGGGGGACATCGGATCAGCAGGTAAGAAAATGTTGCTCCAAAATATAGACTCTCTCGATCCCCACTTGTACCTGAATCTGCCACACAAGGGCGGACTAGGAGGGACAAAATATTTGTTGTTTTGAAGTTGCAACAAATAATTACGTTCTCGACTCAATGTTATACACGTCTTTCTGTGCATAAATAAACTCGTAATAACAACCATAAACGAAGTCGTCTCCTGAAAGTATCAATACATTTCTTCGGAGATGACCGAACGGACCATAAACTGCCATTTGATACTATTATACTGGACTTTTAAATTAGTCCAACAAAATATTGTTTTATCGGTACCGTGATACGAAATACGCTGGTATCTAAAGCCATATTTAAGTGTCAGTTGTAATTTTTCAAGAAGTTTGTAGTGACATTAACTATAAAGTTGAACTCAAAATATCTTTCTTACCCAAGGTAAACACAAAGTTGTGGTTGCGTGTATCAAGTCAGGTCTATAATTTTCATTTTCATTTCTCAACAGGGAGTTGTTTTTATGAACGCCACACAACCTGGAATGATTCTTAACCTAACACAGACTCACATTCCTATGACAACCGGTCACCAGGTCATGATGGCTACTGGACAAACAGGTAACCCAGTAGTGCAGTATTATCCAAGGGCCCAACAGTATCAAGTCATGACTACAACTCAACCGACAGTACCACAGAGTCAAGCTAGCGCTGTTGGTGTTACACAACCAGAACCAAACAATGTACAAGTGTTTGATACCAATCCGCCAGCTTACAAAGAATAAATGAGATATAATCATCCTAAGTTAATAAAAATGAAAATCTTAATATCAAAAATGAAAGAACCTATTCAATCCCTAAATAACCATGGCACTTATACTTTTTTTTTTTACTAAAATCATGAGGAATACAAACACTCATTAGCCTTTTAAAATGGAAATTAACTTTAACACTAGAAAATACTAACCCTTCATATGAAAAATTGACATTTATCTTAACATTTCTAGATAATGACAAATATGAAATACTAAGATGGAAACTGCTTCATTACAAACTTCCATGTATTCAACTATTCAAACAATGGCATATAATAGAAACAGATACAGGTTTACATTATAAAGAATTACAGGATTATAAACAGTTCTTTCCAAAATGCTCATATTTGGAATCCTTCTGGTAAGAAGTACAACAAATTCTTGAGAAATCAAACATTGGAAGATATACTCATGATACAATTAATCTGATAAGTCTTTTGATATAAAGTATATGTTAAAGATTATTATGATATTAAATTACTTTTAACCATTATTAGTTACACTATATGAGGTATACTACATGTCAGACAAAATAAAAATAAAAGATATAGTCACTCAAATAATTTAGACAGGAAATCAGAAATTATATAGAGACAAGAAACTTTTAGGATACCCGATTGGTAAAATATTTAAGATTGTAAGCTATTAAGTTAACTAGTTTAAAATAAAAATATGAGGAAAGTGGTGTGAACTTGTATTACATAAGGAGATAAACTTGATATTTTGGGAAAAAATAATACTTCTTTCAAATAAAGATAGTATTATAATTGTAAATTTTGTACATCTACTTATTTTTTGTATAGGTCTTTGACTGCATTTTTCTACAACTATAGTTTTATTCTTGTTGTGTTATAGTAATAGTTTCCGTTTTTGTTGTTGTCAACTAACTATTCACTGTTTTCATTGATATTCAAGATATAAGGTATATAACATGACTAATCCATTTGATTAGATATATTCCATAGCACTATCAAGCTATTTCACAAACAAAACAAATATTAAAAAAACAAATTATTCAGGTGAAGACATCAATTATATCCGGATTATTGAAAATGTGCGTACTAACACAACTAATCATCATATATGCTCTGTACAAATGTTAACGATGCCGGGATAAGCTACCGTTACTTGATGTATCTATTAACAAATGTAAATATGTTAATAAAATTTTGTTTTAATAAAAAAAAGCTTTTGTTTAGGACTGGTATAAAATCATTATGATCAAAATGATTAAAATTTCTATAAGTTCGAAAAGTTGTTTTCATCAATGGGATTATAGCTGTTTATCATTTTTACTACACAGTAATATAAAAATAAGAAGATGTGGTATGATTGACAATGAGACAACTCTCCACCAGAGACCAAATAGCATAGAAATTAACAACTATAGGTCACCGTACGGTCTCCAAAAGTGAGCAAAATTCCTACCGCATTTTAAGCTATAAATGGCTCAGAAATGACAAATGTTAAACAATTCAAACGAGAAAACTAATGGCCTGATTTACGTACAAAACAATAAACAAAAAAAACAAATGTAATATACAGCAACACACGTGATTCGTTATATTTTGCAAAAAGGGTTTCCCTTTAGTAGCATACAATTATAGACTGTATGAGGTAGATACGAGGATATATCGACCTGAGCGATGTATATCGACTGAGGACGAAGTCCGAGGTCAATATGCTACTTTTGGTCGATATATCTTCGCATCGACCGTCTAAGGCTTCAATTGTGGTATTATTATTTTCCAAACACATTTCTATCAAAGTCAGTGCATTAGTTTCTGTTGTTTTTTGTTCTCCCAATAGTTTCATTTTGTAGATATATAGTATATTGTCTCTTTTACATTGACATCATAATTGTTCTTCCAATTTATTTTCTCTTTTCTTATGTATATCGACCTACTTTTAATGCATTCGAAGATTCTTTTGTAAGCCATGAAGGTATTTTGAAAGAAATTTCTAATAAAACTAAACTTTAGAGCCTCAAAAATTTGACAATATTTTGAAATTACATGTATATATCCCAAAATAATTAAATCTTTTCCAATGAACATGTTGAAAGCAATATAATTATGTTATGAATTCAATAAATTCATTTCTGAATCTCAATTCCTTGATCATTCACTTCTTTGGAAAAAAGTTGTAATTAATAGATATATCTTAACAGTTTTTTGATACAGGAACTGAACATTGCCTTGCTGGCATGGTTTTCTTGTTAATTCTTGTATCTAATGATTTTGACTGATAATAATGACCGTTTTGGAATTCTAAGTGATTTCCTCAAATCATTAAAACAATCATCATCTGCCATTTCAGGTAGAAAAATGATTAGAAACTATTACAAAATGTGTTAAAGATATACTTCTAGGATCTAGTGACATATCATAGTTTGAGTCTTCAATCAGTAATAAGTATAACACATAGCTGCGATGGTGATGCGACACCAAGGTTGACAATGTTTTTTCAAGGGGTAACAATACGCCAGTTCCGGGATACGGTAGTTCGTTGGATCTGTCATGTGACTTCCATCACCACGTGACTAAAATGTAGGCATCGTCACTTCCAACACATGTTGAGCGAACGGATGAAAAAGGTTTGATCTTATACTGCACAAAATTATAGGGAAATTATAATCTAATAATTTGGTCACCCTCTCGTCAGTCGTACGGGAATTAAAATTATGTACTTACGGAACATACATTATTTCTAGACTACCCTGCAGAAAGACGATTCTGAAAGTGCTTGTAACTTTAAAAGAGCAGGGATATAGGCGCGCCTTCTATCTGGTAAATGAAGTCATAAAGGCGTGCGAAATTGACGATCTTTTTACTGTGAAAGACGTGATTCGAGAAATAGCCTATCTGCTCTCCCACCCTCTCAGCTATGTGATATTTAATTTATTATACTGAATGTTCTGTCATTATTGTCTTTTAAATTTAAAATTAAAAGTACTTTACTACGACGTCATGTACATGTACTTAACAACGTTATAGTTATGAGAAAAAAAATACAACAAAAGTGAAACAAGATGAATTTTTTGTTTTTATTTTAGCATTCTATGAAAAAGCATTGAGGTCAAATCGTAAAACTTGAGCATTGTCTTTCAATTATCGAATTTTGATTGGTCTGTACGAGAGGGTTACATTAAAAAAAATGTATAACACATTTTACTTCATCATAAATTAAATGTCGACAGTGAACTCATTGTTACATTGTCAGTCATAAATGTACATGTGAGTCTGTTCTTTCTCGTTATCATCAATATATATCCTAAGCTGAGAGTTCTACTCATAATGATTCAATTTTTACGCATTCAAACTATTTGTTATCTTTACTTGGTAGATCTGACATGAAATAATCTGCTCAACCGCCTACGTTTTCAATTCTGTCATTCTCCTAAAGAAAATTGTGCTTCAGGAGTTGGTTTGGTTTCGGCTATTTCAGGCTTGTCGACAACATTATGATACATAAACAAAGTAAGACAGCAATTCACACAAATATTGAATCCAACTTCTCCAACAAAATAATGATTGATTGATTGTTAGTTGCTTAACGTCTAGTGGCAGAAAAAAGATGAACACACAAGGATAAATAACAAAGAACAATACTTGGTCTAGATAGCATGATTAACACACAATGTGTGTTTTACTCGCGCAGCCATTATTTGTTATATATATCAATAAAATATGTGAGTTACTATTTCTATGATTGAACAACATTTTTGTAGTTGGAAGTCGACATATAAGTAGAAACAAGATAATATGTTTTGATGATATTTTCGTGCTCATATCTGTTAATGGCAAACGTTCTTAAATGCTCTTGTTTAGATCGTTTTTTATTTTCACGCAAGGCTAGTCAGATTTTAACATCGAATGTTATTGTCACATTGAAGGGTCGATAATCACTGCCTTCACCTCTCATTTAAATATTAAAAATTAGTCAAAAAAAATTTAGAAACATATACGAGTATCAATACGAACTTTCGTCTGATGATCATAAAACGTTCTAAAATGTTATATGTTGCTATTCATTTCATTTGACGTGGTATCAAAAATTACTTTCGCCACACTTGATACCTCCTCGGGCAAAGCCAAAGGGTTCAGAGTGGTAATAGAAATAAAATTATCTATGGAATTTTCAGTCCGAAAGTACAATCCTTACCAAAGTCGGGTTAACGTTTGGCTGTGCGAGATGTATGAATGCGCAGCCACGTCCGGTCCGAGTGGGGACGTTAATATCTCATATCTCGTGCAGAGAGAGAGAGAGTGCCATGCTTTCAGCACGTTAGGAACCCTTGCAAAAGCTTAGTGAGGAGTCCGTAGGTGACCTGTTGCAAGGCAAAATTTCTGTCCCTATCCAATATATCCTCATTTTTCAGTGGCATTCTAAAATTCCCGACCTTCATCCCGGACGGGCTCTTTTACAGGACCTACTTATTATATTTATCGTTAAAATGTTTTCGTCCTTAACATGCATAAAATACTTTCCACAAGACTTTAAACAACTACCAATCATTCAATAGCCCATGTTGCCAAAAATACTTTCGTAATCTACATGTGTACATGTAAATACTGTTGATTTCACCGTGTTACATTCACTCTCGGTACACATGAATGAGATTTTGGGGTTCCACAGCAGGTGAAATTCAAGGAATAAATGTGAAAAAATGTTTCAGGAAAGAATTATAAAGAATAAACAACTTACAGGTTATTGATGATGCACTCAAAAAAATTATATACAAGGCTTTCTTTTATTGAATTTGCAAGCGAATCGGTCCATTTTGTCACATTAAAAACCTTTATAAAAAAGTTTTAATCCTATAATCAAATAACCTGATAAATATAGTTTAGGGAGATCGACATGATTAATCGATGAAGGAAGTACTTTATGTATTTACAAATGATTCTTTAATTTATTTCACAACCATAATTTTATCAATACGATTCGACATACAGCTAAGAAAGAAAAGTTGGTGAAACGTAGCTCTTTGTGCAAAAACAGAGTATGTAAGTATCTTATGTAAACCATATTGAATGCTTTCGAATGTTGAAGTAGTTAACAATAAGAGATAACTAAACATTATTCTTTTTTTAGATTTATGTAATTTTGACGATATTATTTCAAACGGTATTTATGGATGTTCACTAAATAAAGTTTATAAATTTTCCTTAATATCCTGTAGCCTCTTTGATACTTTCTAGGCTATTCTTTAACAATGTGTTGACACCAACCTCTTTATTTCTTTTTTTTAATGTCACATATTAAATACATTTCTTGTTAGAGATTTTTGTTATTTCTTATATATTTTTCAAAAAGATGTTCCCAATATCTTCCAAATACCTTTGATATGAAAAATCTAAAGATATGTATTTTCTTCCAAAAATTCAAATTGTTAAAATGCGTATCTCCAAAAAACCTATGCAAATCTAGTAAAACTTAATATTTCTCACGATCGCTCTGTTAAAATATTTAAAATATTGAGTCTGATGAACAAGAAATAAATATGTGTGGCCATAGCACACTACCATAACATCTACCTAAAATAGTAATGCAAATTCAGGCACACGTAAATTGTGCCTCAACATGGTCCAAATATATTTCTCAGTCAGCAAAAGTCTAGGCTCATATCTGAATATTAATTAATGATAAAGTCTCAAAATGGGCCAATTTTGACAGTCTTAGCAGTTTTGTACGAAATTCAAGAAGTTTGAAGCCAACATACAAACATGTAAGACAAAATTCAATATCATCAACACTGAAATCTGTCAGATGAATGTCATATGAATATATGAAGGATTTTATTTCGTAGATTTATAACACCTTTTGACTTTTGAATTCAAGGGGCTAAAAAGTGGCCTTATAAAACCTCTTTTCATGTTTGCTGTTTTCTTTGAAATCCGTATACACACTGCTGCATGTTTGCATAACAAATTGTGGTAGTTATTGTATTTTTTGAAGGAACAAATGAGACCAAAAATAACGATTCATCATGTTAAAATACTTTTTTTTCACCTTTTTAAAGTTTCTTAATCTATTTTATCTTTCCTTTTTTTACTTTGACAGTTGGAGATGAAGGCAAATCCAGAAAAGTGCCGCGGACGCACCAGATTTAGATTATTTAATCGTTATTTTTATATCATTACGCTAAAGTTTAAATTGGTACTTTTCATTTAGATGTTATTGAGACATCATAAAAAGTTTTGGAAAAACATGATAGTTTGCAATAGTAACGATAGATTGATCTATGAGAGTGAATAGTCTTAAATTGTAAATTTATAATTTCAAGGAAGATTCTAAATTCAATTCTTTATTGAAAGCATCCCATATTGCTGTTGTTCTCACACTAAAATAATCATCATGTTTTTTGCATTTTTGATATCCTTTTGAAAGCTATGATAGAAAGAGAGAAACTGTAAACAGTAAAAATCATTTGTAAGAAATTGTTAATAGGCCAATTCTAGGAACCATTCTCCTTAAATGAATATTTTGACTATTTGTTCACATTCGGCTATTACATGAAAACTTGGAACATGTAGAGATGCAAGAAATTATCACACTGCAAGATCTAGAAGAATCAAATTAAAAATAAAGGCAACAGTAGTATACCGCTGTTCGAAACTCATAAATCGATAGAGATAAAAACAAATCCGGGTTACAAACTAAAACTGAGGGAAACGCATCAAATATAAGAGGAGAACAACGACACAACAAAAACACAACATTAAAATGTAACACACACAGAAACGAACTATAATATAACAATGGCCATTTTCCTGAGCGATTCGGCATTTGTCTTCTTATAAGGGAATATTGTTCTGACATAACTTTATCATTGTTTTGAAAATAATCTACGAGTAGATCTAAATCAAAGAGAAATGCAACCATACTGTTTGTGTTAAAAGTCGCTGGTATTTTGGCTTAAGGTGTTGATGTTGCATGTGTTTGCGCGTTGTGCGATTCAGCCTCTTGTGAACCTGAAGTTTCAATTTCAGAATGTCAGATATTCGTTTGCCATCTCCATTTGTACCGCAAAGGGTAGAAATCCAACAAGCTATACCAGGCAGAATCCAGAAACGAGAATTTCCAGTAAGGACATTTAAAGTACTTGGAGGAACACAGATTGGTATAGGTGTCTTGCTGGGCATCATGAGTTTAGTTGGAGTGATTTGGGATGTCAATGCATAGGAACAATACGATGATTGTTTCAATAAGGATTATTATGGCTATTATTTTAATACTTATTATGGATATTATTATTCGTTGTGTTATCGATATGAGGATGGGCACACACTCTTTGCATTTGACGTTGCTTGTTTAATATTTTCTGGTTGGGTAAGTGTATAATGTTGAGGTAACTATAAAATAATCCTAATCGAAAGATTGGTGTTAACATTGAATTGTAAACATTTCTCTGTTCCATTTTGTCATTTCACAGTTCAAATTTAAATTTCATATTTCCTACTAGACATATCTCACTTGCAGGTTGACATTCCTAAATTGTAACTTGACATTTCTAACTTTTAACTAAACAATTCTCCCGTTCTCATAAGATCCAATTTCCTGCGGTAAAAGTAGCCATAGATGAATTTATTCAAACCTTTTAAATGTTTAGGTTCGAGCGTTTCTGATGAAGGTAATTCTAGAAATGCGCTTTGTTCGCACGAAGAGTTTATTTTCATTTTGCATGAGAAATTTCACGTTGTATTACCTGCAGTTATTCCAATATGCATGCACTTCAAAGCCCGGATGTAACTTACCTTGACCGCAAACCTATTATTTCTCCTTTAGTAGGTCATACAATTTCATCCATCTACAGTCAAATCCGTTCCCCTTTTTATCTGTACACAATATTTCCACTGTTTACAGATTTGGCAGAAGTTTGTCGATTCAATTGGAAAAAAGTAGGATTATTTATGATATATAACGTTATAGATAGGCCTTTTTTTAAAATGAGATCAGTTTAGAAAGAAAGATAGGTGACCCATATCATAATGTTGTTCGAAGGTTGATTCCATAAACCTCTGTTTCGCCTCAGTTGACAATGTTTTCTCGGGGTAACAATCGGCTCTATCACCCTCTCAGCTATGTTTTATTTTACAATATGACAAGATTAAGGGTACGAAAGGATAAACACACATTTCTATTGTCAAACAGAGGCTTTAAAATACATAATTATTCTTGTAAACACAATGTTTAGCAGTCAACGATGAAAAGATGAATAAACGATACTATTAAATTTTCTAATTGCAGTATGTTGTTACCGGTTTTCTGCCTGTGTGTATGTCAAGGCAGAGGAAATCGAGCTGGATATGGCTGGTAGGCTTTTATATACAATTGACTAGCGTTAATGTTTCATTGAAATAAAAGTGAAAAGGAGAATTCAATAAAAAAACTTAAAAATTATCAAGTCAAAAGTGGAAGTATTAGAATTAAGGTAGCATTTCACTCTCTATGTAGAAATGTTTGAACTCTGGACATTTTCATTATATTCGGATACAGGATTAAGTTTTATTTGAAAAGAAGAAAACATAATTACAATAATTTTAATCTCAAAAATATATTAAATTTTTACATTTACATCTAAAGGAGATTTATGTTCGCTCAATGTTATCTATTCAGAAAACTGCATTTATGGTGTGTAGCATAATTGGAGGGTCCGTTTTTGTTCCAACTATGTTTAGTCTTGGCGTAGTCGGTGCATTCATAGTAAGTAGTGGTTATCAATTACACATAACAGAGCAAATATATACTATAGTATGTTATTAGTTCAATAGTGTAACGTATTGTCAATATCAGCTTTAACGCAAATAATATATAAGTGTACATGAGGCAATAATCAACTTTTTGCTGTTTGACTCAGGTCTGCTTTGATCTTAATGATATCAAACGTTTTCTGTATGGGCTTTCTAATTTTTTTCCGTGCGAACGTTCACGATGAAGATTATTCCAGAAATACAAATATAACACCAAAATGGGAATCAAAAGTTTACATTTATTTGATTATCGGTTTGCTTAATCGCCAGTTCTTGTTTTTATTTTGATTTTGAAAAAATACCTTAATGTTTCCATTTTTTTTACCGAAAAAAATTGTACTAAATTGACATTTAATTAAGTTTTACAACTGAATTTAATTGTGAACTAATATTTAAGTTTTGAATTAAACATGAAACAGAATTACAGTTTATTTATGTAACTTCACTAAAACCAAGACCTCCCTGAGGAAAAGTTGACTTAAGAAACATTCCGCTGTTATGTTTCACACTTTCAGTTTTATACGCTTAAAGTTTTATATTTGTTAACCTTGTTCCTAAATATGCAGCTAAATATTTTACACAACCGTATCGAATAACATTTTGAATTTTTTTGATTGGTCTACGAAATGATCGTCAGAAGAAATTGAAATTCTTCATTCAGGTTTAAGTTCCTATCTTAGGAGTTTTATATTCACTTTGAACTCAACTAAATGCACCACTAGCAATCGACTAGACTATTACCAATGTGGTATTTCAACACATTTTCCAACAAACTTTATAAACAGACGAATAAATACAGAGCGATGTAACTAATTTTTATGGAGTTTGTTAAAACCAAAATAATAAGGAGTGTGCACAAAATTGTGAATATTAATAAACACTAAATGAAAAAATTATATTATCTGTCAATTGAAAACCATCTCTGAGAAATAGTCATGTGTCATGTTTAATGGGCTTGGAATTATTAAAGTTTTATGCTACCAACGTATTGTCTTGAAATATGTATTAAATGATTATTAAGTTGTTTTTTTCAATTTTGCTCATTTGCTTTATTCTGATCTTACACTTATATTGCAGCAAGAAAGGCACGATTCGAAAGCTATGGTTCTGTCAGCTTTGCTGGCTGCCTTCTCCTTTGCAGAATTAGTATTGGCAATCATTTCTGCATCATTCTGCTGTTGCTGCTCTGCATGGGAAACATCAAATCAGCAGGTTAGCGCATATCAAGTCAGATCTTGAGCATGTTGACCCGTATCTTTCTCCCCAGCTGAAACAGTTTTCATCAAATGACATGTATGAGGACAGCATATGCAGCTTATGGGTGCATATTTACGTTGTAGACTCATTACCACCTCTGTTCAAGAGTAAAGATTTACGTATTTTATGCATTTTAGAGATAAAGTCCTGAGTCAGTACAAGTATAACAGCATTGAATAAAACAGCATGAAGAAATCTCATTTAGATACATACTTTCAAAGTCTTCTAGATAATTGACGATGGAAATCTATGTTATATTTGTAGTATATCAGTTAGGAACATAAATTCAGAATAATTGATTCCGTTGAAAAATATCTCAGAAGGAAAAGAAAAATCAAATGAGATTCTTAAACCGGTTTAAATCAATTAAGGTCAAACCTATAACTTATCAAAAGTTTGTAAACATTATACCTCGACTCCTTAACGTACAAAGCTGACAGAAAATCTATTTCCGTTCATCATAATCAGTATGTATTTGCTTATGCTCAAATCTTACAATATCATTTTACACGCAAATTCGGTCTGATTGAAGACATTGGGAAATTACGATGTCATCATGTTTGAGTGTATATAAAGATGTCTGCAAAAGAACCCTTACAACTGCCGTTACTGTTAGGAATCGGTTAGGTTTTGGTGGAACACTCGTATTCAGCCTTTCTCGTGGGGAATTGAGTCTAAAATGAATAGATACAATGGATCTTTCTAAGAAATGTCAGGGTTAGCGTGCCTCAGACAGTCGCAAGATGTGAGGTTATCCAATTTTCCCCAAAAAATACAAATATCTATGGAATGTTTTTTTAGAATACGCATTGTAATTAATGAGGTAATTCCTATTCTTTATACATTTAAAAGGTACAGGGATTCTTCTTACTGTATTGTGATATTTACTTTCTCCTTACGTCATATAGATCCTAAAGCTTTATATACCCCTTGCCTTCAATATTTTATTATTTTGAATGCTCCATATAAAAGTAAATCTAGAAAAACGAACTTTAATCATTGTTTCTTTACGTGAAAAAATAATGCATGATCTTATTTATATACATTGTTCTCACAGTTTTATTTATCTATAGGGAATTGTTATTATGCAACGTACACACGCTGGACTGATTCCTAACCGTTCGCAGAACCCAATTTCTATGACAAATGATCAACCCGTCCTGGCAAATAGTGGACGAACAGCTAACCAAATAGTGCAGTATCCAAAAGCGCAACGGTATCAAGTAATGACTACGACTTCATCAACAGATCAACAGATTCAAGCTGTTGGTGGTACACAACAAAGGACGGTCAATACACCATTGTGTGATATCAATCCACCATCATACAAATAATAAGAATAAAGTTAACCGAAGTAAATGGACGGTTTAATTCTTAACATTTGTAAATCTGTCCAAATAAATATTTTAGGTGAGGAAGTTATTTGCAACTACCAAGAATACTAAATTAATCATTGAAATTCAAAGAAATGTTATTTAATGACTAAATTTTGTCCGCTTTTTTTTTTAAATTTCTTTATTCATATTTGCAGCTTACATCAAATAGTTTTATAAAAGGAAAACATTAAAGATATGCATCTAACAGAAAGGTTTAATTTCATTGCATTTTCGACTATTGGTGAATTTATAGGAAATTGTAATTCAACAACTATGTCTGTATTGTTTTCGAAAATAATTGTATTTAATAAACATGAAACTTTGCTTCAGAAGTAAGTAATGCCAAGCCGAAATTTTTTAAATTGGCATGGCTTTAGCATCTTCATTGAGTAATTTTGGTTTTGAACTCATTTAATTCAAATCTATATAGATAAAAAAAATGTAAAAAAACAGTTTTTAATATACGCGAGACGTCTCGTCTACAACAGAATCATCAGTGACGCTCGAATAAAAAAAGTAAAAAAGTTCAAATACAGCCATTTTTGAACACTTTCTGCAAGCAAATGTTTGTTAGTTTTATTTTAGATTTTTTTTTATTTAATCAACCAAAATAAATCTAAAGTTCAACACTCACTTTTACGTCAAAATGTACATAGGTATTAAATTGTATGCAAAACAAAAAGGACGCAACACAATCACGACTGTTGTGCTGTGAAAAATAACAAAAAGTTTCAATTATGTTCAACAATGTTTTACGTACACATACACACTTGTAATGCATTAAAGTAATATATAGGTGCGGATGTAGGATTTTGAAAAGAAGGAAAAAAGGGGGAGGCGCATTACATTTGCGCGCATTTGGGGATAAGAATTTGTTACGTTTGCGCTCAGCTTTGATAACATTTTAGCGCATTCATTTTACAGGTAACACAGGTACAATGAAGACAATTCATAATAAAAATGACTATAGTTATTAATTTTGAACATATTTGTTAATTTAAATCACACACACACATAGATATATATATTCTAAGAAAAATAAATAAAGTGATCATGAGAAATCCAGTAACAGCTTATTGCATATATCTAACTTAAGTACGAATATTTCAAACTGCTGGGCCTATTCAATTAGTTCGTTGTGAGTTGATGAATATTTATAAAAACAAACGCTAATTGAAAAAGGCCCGAAGAGTTTGACAATGGTCATATATCATGAAAGGCTTAAGGAATACCCAACATTAACAAAGCCAAGATATTGCTATGATTTAAAATTGGTATCTGTATATAGTTTTAGGAGTAAGTGCTTGTGCATAATAAATCCCTCTTCCACCTACTCTTTGGAGAGCAGTGGATTGAGACTAACGAACGGGGTACTTGTAAATGGTTAAATAAATAAAAGATAGTAAAATAAATTAATAATAGTTAAATAAATAAATAAAAGTTAAAAAAATAGATTAAAAAAAACAATATATACCTTTGTTTACCTGTTTTTACCTGAGTTTACTTGTAAAATAAATGCATGCAAAACGTAATGATTTTTACGCGCAAATGTAATGGAAATGCGCGCAAACGTAATGCACCTGGGGAAGGGGGGGGGGGGGGGGGGGGGAGGGGGTTGGCTAGCCAACGTTCGGAAAGATACTTGTAAAAAGTTTATGCATCTATCATATATGAAGATGATTTTGATAGAAGTCAGTGACGCTTTAATTAATTAATAAAAATATGCGGTGCACTATCAAAAAAAAAAAAAAAAAATAAAGACCATATCAGAGAAAGAATCTAACAAATACTGCAATAATTTGCTCGCGATCTCATGAAATTCAGATACAATGCAAAAAATTTCAGAACCTGTAATATTAATTGTGATATTGATTAAACATGTGTCATTTGATATTAAATGTCGTAAGCGGCGGTTGTTTACAAAACATAAAATGTTTCACCATAAAACTGCTCTGGTTGAATAGATACAGGTATATATAGGTTGATTTACGCATTAAAGATGCATCTAGGAAGTACATTGACCAGATCTTTGACTATTTCACTGGCGTTATAATATACACACGTGACAAAAGGTTTGTGAAACATATCGATTCTTTTGATTAGAAAAAAGAAATTAAATATTTGATAAATGTATCGTATTTTTAATGTACAAGAAATTACAATGAGACAATGACAGTTTTCTGTCAATTTGCATTTTGTATTAATTGTTTTCTGAACACATAAGTTAGGATCATATCACAAAAATTACGCTTATACTATTGATTATTAAAAAAGTAAGTTGGTGTTTTTTATTTACAAAAAAGTATATACATTTTACTGAGAAACATTTCATTTAAATGATGTGTATAAAAACTATGCTTCACTAATAAACTATAAAGGAAATATTACCTTGATCACATATCTAAAGCGATCTGAAACCGTCTTCAGAAATTTTAATTCTTTGGATATTGTTATTTGCCATCAACTTTTTAATGGGGCGGTTAATGTAGAGAGCCAATGCAAAGATGATTTATAGTTTCACTTATCTACAATAAAATCCATTTGTGTCAAAAAAATAAAAAATAAAAACCGTATACGTATTTTGAAGTGGAAGTCAAGTAATCTTTATTTCTCGTTACTCTCTTTGTTGATAAAATTATGTCAATGAATTTTCTGTTCAACATAATCATACCATAGTCTGAATGTAATGTCAGATGTTAAGAACCAAATCCATGTCATGTTATACTTGGCTTTTACTTTGATTCCAGTTGTTCCAGTTGGACAAGGCACAACAGTCAACGAAATTTTCTGATTACGATATTATCAGTTTAAAATCATGTGCTTTGAAGAATTCGTTAAAAACGCGTTACTAGAAGTGATATTGTTGTTGGTGTTTTGAAGAAGTCGTTAATCATGTTAATGTTGATTGCTGTACCCGTATTTTTGAAATCTTTAACTATTATGTCTGTTTGTTTTGTTCACACATTGTTGTCAATATAATTGAATTTTATGCGACTGAGAGGGTTAGCTAGCTATAAAACCAGGTTTAATCCATCATTTTCTACATAAGAAAATAACTGTACCAAGACAGGAATATGACATTAGTTTTCCATTCGTTTATGTGTTTGAGGTTTTGATGTTGTCATTTAATAAGGGACTTTCCGTTTTGAATTTTACTTGGAGTTCGGTATTTTTGTTATTTTACTTTTTGATAACGCGCTAGTGCAAGTTATTTGTTGTGGGTCTAAATTGAATACTTCTACTCTAGAATTCGCCCAAATTAAAGGAGAAATCGGTCCCTTAGAAGATAAATAGCACGGTCCAAGTATGTTAACTATTATATCGTGTTGTACTTGTTTTGGCTTTCAAACTTTTTTGATCTGAGCGTCACTGGTTAGTCTTGTGTGTACGAAACGCGCGTCTTGCGTATTAAATTTTAAACCTGGTACCTTTTGTTAGCTATTATTCGTATGTTTCTCTATCCTATATGTTCTCCCATTTATTTGTATTGTAGTCATGTAATGTTGTCATTTTAATGTTATATTTAACATTGCCATAAATAAAAGCGGGAGGTTTGGCTAGCCACAAAACCAGGTTCAAACCACCATTTTTTTCTTAAAATGTCCTGTACCAAGTCAGGAAAATGGCTTTTGTTATATTATAGTTCGTTTCTGTGTGTGTTACATTTAAATGTTGTGTTTCTGTTGTGTCGTAGTTCTCCCCTTATATTTGATGTGTTTCCCTCAGTTTTATTTTGTAACCCGGATTTGTTTTTTCCTCAATCGATTTATGAATTTCGAACAGCGGTATACTACTGTTGCCTTTATTTATATCGTGTTGTTCTTGTGTCGTGCTGTTTGACCACTGTCCAGTTTAGGGGGGAATGTTGGGCATGTTTAATACCGCAACATTCTGTATGTATAAAAATAAGATGTGGTGTGATTGCCAATGAGACAACTCTTCACCACAGACCAAAAGATATAGAAGTTAACAACTATAGGTCACAGTATGTCTTGAAACAGACGCGCGTTTCGTCTACAAAAGACTCATCAGTGACGCTCGAATAAAAAAAAATATATGTGTTGACATGCATGGTATGGGCTTTGATCATTGTTGAAGGCCGTACGGTGACCTATAGTTGTTAATTTCTGTGTCATTTGATCTCTTGTGCAGAGTTGTCTCGTTGGCAATCATACCACATCTTCTTTTTATAATTATCATTGATTTGGTTATAATTATAAACTAACTGCTTACAAATCTTTGAATTTTTTGAAATACTAAGGATTTTCTTCTCCGGAAATAGATAATCTTAGCTGAATTTTGGTTCCTCAATGTTCATCAACTTCGTACTTTATTTTTTTAATTTTTTTTTTATTTCGAGAGTCACAGATTAGGGGGGGAGATGCATGGTTTAAATTCCAATTTTCCTTTAAAACAATGTGTTCAAATTATTCATGTATGTTCAGGACGAGAACATATATGCAATAGCTAGGTCCTGTATAGAAGCTGTCCGGAATGAAGATCGGGGAATTTTGGACTGCCATTGAAAAGAATATATATGATTGGAACCGAAAATTTGCCTTGCAACAATCCAACTACGGACCCTCAAAGTTTTGTTGCAAAGGTTTTAAACATAAAGAGAGCGTCGTGCTACTCTCTCTACACGAGGCTTTGGATTAAATGTCCCCATTCTGACCGGACGTGGCTGTGTACTTGTACATTCCGCACAGTCAAACGAACGCCCCACTTTAGAAAGGTTTTTTTTGCCAATCGGATGAAGATTTAAGTGACTATATTTTTATTCCCCAGTCACACTTGGGGTGATTTTTGGAATGAATATGCTAGACTGGTACTTACTGTAGACAATAACCTTGTCCAAGACAGGGTGAAAATGAAAATTTTGTCCTACAAAATACATAACTTTGTAAGAAATAGTTGTTTACAAAAAGTGAAAATAATTTTCGCGTAAATAAATAAGCTGTTCTATCAACAGGTGTAAAATGAATATTCCATCAGCAAAAAATTCCCACCTTCCACTGGAAATCAAACGTTCCTCTAAGGCTATTCAAATTTAGTCATGTTTTAACTGAGAAATTTTTGAGTTTTTGTCATATAAATAGGTAAATAAGTAAATTCATAATATTATTATAATTATTTTTATTCAATATCTGTAACTTCCTTAAATATTCATAATAAAAATCCAGGTTCTTAATATTTAGTTTTGTGTACAATTTACCTACACAAAGCCTACATTGACAATCGAATGCATGTAGTCAAAATCTCATTTAAACTACATGTTAACATCATTTTGTTTATCTATTAGAACATAATAGAGTGCAGTTTACGTGTTGAGTACATTTAAACCACACCGAGTTTTTCTCAATGTGAACACGTCCTAAGTGTAAATGTTATTTCATATAACTTCGATGTTGTCAACGTTATATGTAGATTGTGCTTTCTGTTAATCGTGTGCTATCTGTTAATCAAAGTTTTTAACTGAAAACGTAATCATTGTACTAGTAAGTACTTCACCAACAGACATAATGCAATTAAATTTCAAGAACTAATATCTATTAAACGCACTATTTACTATTGTCAGTTTGATATTTCTGTATAGTTTGCATATTGTAATTGTTTTTATATTATTTATGTTATGCATTTGCTGTTTAAGAATAAAAAAAAGATATTATTTTTCTGAAAGATGACTACATTTAACATCGGAACTACATATTGACGAACAGTAATACTAATAAATCAGCTAATAAAACAGAAAAAAGATACAAATGAAGCAATAATAAATCATAAGTCATTAAAAAACAAACAACACCATGGCCAAAAAAATACAAAAAAAACAAAAAAAAAAACAAACAAATCATTACACAGTAATTTTTATTGAATTCTCTTCATATTTAAATGTAGATCTCTAATCTTTTTATTATTGCCGCACGTATATCGCCTTCAATTCCTGACTGATAAGCTTCGAATTATTGATACAAATGATCCATAACTGAAGAATAATGCGATAAACATAACAATAGAATTATTTTTTTAATTTCTATATTTCTTTTTTTCCTCGGGATAGCGATTTTGTTTAATTAGATCCCCAAAAGATTTGTATGCATATTTCCCCTCATCACAGTTACATATGTCTTCAATAATTAGACAAATCTGAAATGTTTTGGATGATAGCTTAAAATTATATTTAATATCAATTTTTGTCGCCCATATATCGTTTTTAGTTCTCCCCAAATTCCCTTCAAATTTGAATGAGGCCTAACACTCATCAAAACCGCTGTTTGGTTGGATAATCACAAAAATTCGAAATAGTGAACATTTGATTAGAGTAGTCTTCTAGATATATTATATGTGAATTCTCTTGTTGCCGTGATAACGACTTATTAGTTATAAGAAGCGCTTTTTGTGGATTTACCTTCTTCAAAAACGCCTTAACCCAAACATTTGACATAGAAGAATGTTTAAATTTCTGAACTCGTAAAAATCTATATGACCAAAAGGTAGTAAGGTTCTTGCATTGTAAATAGCTTTTTTATTGCACTGAATGTTGCTGCAAACATCAAAACTAAAATTGGGACGTTCCAAAGTCGCTCTTTTTGCTATTCTTTTCTTTGATACCAGAAAACAGAAATAACTGTTCATATTGTTTTATTATTCTGTTCTTTTTTAATTTCCTTTTATTGAAAAATTTCTGTTTTAAAATATTTGGTTTTGAAAAATCTTTCCACTTTGGAAGTATTTTATTTTTTTAAACGTGCTAAAATATACTCTTTTCATTGAATGTCAGCGTAAACCTCAATAAAAGTGATAATTTCGTTGTCAAATAATGGATTTTATATCAAAACATGTTTTATTATTGTAAAAACCAAAGTTGATAATGTTGATAAAAGATAACATTTAGGAAGCAAATCAAGATAACTTAGAACATAAAATGCAATAATGTGGTCAATATCCAAAATAACGACTACATATATTTGATGATAGTGTAATCTGACAGCACCAAATGTGTTTTATGCCTTATCCTTTTTTGTTTATTGTTTTGCAGAATGTCAGCAGCTCCTGTAAACAGCCCTGTGTCCCCTCCTTTGGTCATACAAGGCTTTGGAAATCAACCTGTTCAAACAGGCGGAATCCAGCAACAAGAATTTCCAGTTGGGAGACTAAAAGTGTTTGGCGGCATACAAATTGGTCTTGGTGTTGCTCTAGGAATTCTCAGTTTAGTTGGAGTGATAGTGGATGCCATTGCCATGGGGAAATATAAAGATTGCTTACATGGTGGCGGCCTATACAGTTATAACGATCCCGTTTACAATGAAAATGTTATGGTTTCAAGTTACCGGTTTTGCAGTAGATATAGTCATGTGCTATTAGGCTTTGACATAACATGTTTAATATGCTCTGGATGGGTGAGTATGTTATTATAAATAGATAAAAATCTGCATTCGAAAGAATTTCTTTTTATGATATATTGTGATACTAATACATACTAGTTATACAGTACTGTTTAATTATCAGAGAAAATTACAAGACACGTTAATATTTCATATGTAACATATGTTGTTTAAAAGAAAGGAAACTACCCATATTTGTATAGTGTACACGGTACCAATTGCTATTAATAGATATAAGAAGATGTAGTTTGAGTGCCAATGAGACAACTCACCATCCAAATCACAATTTGTAAAAGTAAACCATTATAGGTCAAAGTACGGCCTTCAACGCGGAACATTAGCTCACACAGAACTGTAAGCTATAATGGGCCCCAAATGTTTTTTTAAGATAAGATAATCTTATGGAATATTATGTTTTGTTAACATTTAAAAATAAACTGTCTAATTTTCTGATTTCTTAACAATAATACTTGAGCTTATGACATTTATAAATTACCAGAATAAGGTTCTGTACTTTTTTTTGTTATAATATTTCACGTTGATAAAGTGCATTTTGCGAACATGCTGTTCACGGCATAATCTTGTTTACTGTTTATGGAGACATCTTTACGTCTTAATCTACCATATATTTTCTATTTATCTTACTGTCGAAAAAGGCATAGAAAAAAGGTATATTTGACTTGTTTCATCCTGCATCAGGCATTTCGCTTTTAGTTGTCCATTTGGATCTGAAGGACGAACACATTTTTATCATGGTCTGATTAAAGTACGGACTCTTTATAAAAAACATTACAGCATAGAAAGTTTGGTAAACTTTTTGTTTGTCTACCTTTGAATTGTTTTTTGAGGTTCCAACCTTTCATCAGTCCTATATTACTGATTTAGTCGACTCTTACTGACTTTATGATCGACATCATATTTGTTGAGTTTGGGGATTGATATTTCAACAGATAGTCAGTATAGCAACGGGTACCAGTTTTACACCTTGGATGGTTGACTACTTTTTTGTTTTTTGTACTTATATTAAGCAGAATTCACATCTGAGAGACAAATATAAGCAAAGTGTTTTAATTTCACTTTTAGATACATTGATGTCCTTTCATCAAATAATCCAAATTTTAGTGAGTGATTGCATCTCATATATCCCAGTGGTCTTGAGATTACTGATACTACCGAAACAAAAAAGTCTGCTTCATGTCTTGATATTTTTCTCGTATATTTACACAGATGAACAACTTCAAACTAACATATATGACAAACGTGACAATTTCAAATTTCCAATCGTCAACTTCCCATTTCCCAGCATTAGCATACCCTCTGCCCAATCGTATGGTGTTTACTTACCACAACTGATACGTTCCGGTCGTGAATGTTCACACCATTTGAGCTTCATTTGTAGGGATGTACTTCTTACACAAAAAACTGTTCCAACAGAGTTATAATGAAGACCCACTGAAACTGACACTACATGTGTTTTACGATCATCATCACAAATTGGTTGACAAATACGATATGCTGGTATCCCAACTTACCAGTGGAGTCGGCAGTACATACTTTGTACGGTCACTATCACGAATTAGTTGACCCATACGATATATATTTGTATCAACTCACTGTTTTAGCAGTCTTAGATAAACAAAACCCCAGAAAAGTCGTCCACTTTTTCTATTCCTATATCCGATTGTTACATTTTGACTGAGTTGGATATGCATTACTGATGTTGTCCGATAAATGTGATTTGAACGTCGGTAATCTACTGTTCTGTTGCCTTCAATAGTCGTATAATCAATTAATTTTATCGATTGTGTCCAATTTTAGTTCGTTATATATTGAATGAGTTGATTCGCTTAGCGGATGATGCATAGCAATTTACGTTTACCCTGTCAAATCACCCGGTCTCGATCCTTTTGGCAACCTACTGTTTACTGCATTTATTTATTCGATCAATTTGTTTTCGTTCAGAATATGCACGAATTAATGGCCAGTTGAAGCTAGCATTACTACTACATGTAAAATTCAGAATATTGCACATATTGTTTCAATCATCAATGCACTTCAGACTTTGTACTTGAATATTTGGGACAGTTTGTCATGTGTTCCTAAGATAGTGTCCGATCAGCATTTTTTTAACCTAACAGAAAATATTTCGCGCCTTACTTATTCCATTTCAATAAGGGAATAAAAAGGTTGTAATTTCGTAGAACCACAGTATTTCAGATATATTGAGAGGTTTGATAACGTTGAGTTAATAAATTTTCGTGCAGTCACCCTTTTTGAACCGTAACACGGATAGTATTGAGATAGTGATAAGTAATTGATAATTTCATGTATAAATATCTGTACGTAAGACAGTCTGTATGTATTAGGCCTACTGAAAAACGCAAGCTCTGGTGTGTACACTTTCACGGTCTTAAAATGCAAATAAGGAACAGGACATATTTGTAAAAGTTGAAGAGAAGAAAAACAAACAATAGCATTACACCAGAGAAGGCATTTTGTGAATGATTTTTAAAATTAAAAAGGTAAAGTGCTGTATTTGAACCTTCCAGGTTTTCGAAAATCAAGTCGTTTTAGATTTAATAGTCGGAGATATAATATTGTATGTTCAGGTTATAAAAGAGAGGCGAACGATACCAAAGGGTTATTCAAACTCATAGGTCGAAAATATACGTACAACACCATGGCTAAAAAAGAAAAAAAGATCAACAGAAAAAACAACAGTACACTAAACATTAAAGACTGAGCAACACGAACCCCAAAAAAAATTGATAAAATGCCAAATGTTTATTTGAATTTTAGAATTAAAACAAACTAGTTTTCGCTCGAATGAAAGGAGTCAATTGACAGTCTGAAACACAGGTGAAATTGTTGAAAACAAAGTAATGCATTTTTCAAGAAGAACAGAAATCATGTGTACAATGAATGATATAAATCATGATATGGGATAAGAACAAAAACATTATTTTTTTATTTCTAGAATAAATGATAGACAATATTCATTTAACGGGAACTATGTTGTTGGTTGTTAATGCATGCGTCATACTGTATGGTTGTTGATTTATGCGAGTATTTATATACAGTTCTGACTCACTAGTACGTAAATCAAATTTACATATCAAACTTCAAAATGATTTTAAATCGTATAAGGATTGCTAACCTTTTATGAAAATTAACGTTGATTCCGAAAACGCCCTTCAAAACTACTGTCTAAAGATGAAATGAAGTGTAAAATGAAAACACCCATTTATGAATGTGGTGTAACAAAAGCACTTTACTGTTTAAGCTTCATCAGAAACGATCAAACATAAAAAATGATGTCAAGGATTTATACATACTTGAATACGTGATGAAATTTATGACCAAAATAATATAGTTTAATCCACCAAGGGTGAGCTATTCCTGATGTTGCAACAGTGGTTTATATTAAATAACTTGGAGTACTCTTAGTTCGGGACTTTGTGTCTATTGTTTTTATGTAAGTTGTATTTGTACGTCATACTGATCTTTTGAATTAAGCCAATTGCAACTGATATTTACAGTTTGTTAGGTGGATGAGCGCCCAAAACATGTTAAATCGCCACATTCCTTATGTGCCTGTCCCAAGTCAGGAGCCTGTAGTTCAGTTGTTGTCTGTGGTTCATATAAATAAGAAGATGGGGTATGAGTGACAATGAGACAACTCTCCATCCAAGTCACAATGTATAAAAAGTTAACAAATAAAGTTCAAAGTACGGCCTTCAACATGAAGCCTTGGGTAACACCGAACACCAAGCTATACCGGACCCCAAAAATAACTAGTGTAAAACAATTCAAACTGGTCAGAAATGTTAACCAACTGGTGTATCACTGTCCTCTCACGGAATAATTCCAAGTTTGGTGACTATATTTAACGCATCTATCCCATTGAACTAGAAAAAAAGGATATCTTGAATTACATCTAGAAATTAACAATGATGAGAACTTGAGAACAAAAACTGTTCGACAAAGGATCGAGATAATTTCAGCTTTACATAAGGTAATCTAGAGCTAGCTTTTCGATCCATGATTTCATTGATAGATGGTTGCTCTTCACAAGGAAGCTATTAAACCAAGAGTTCCAAGTGGTGATGTTCAAGTCATCTCTTTGAAAATTTTACAGACGCCATCACGAGTTGGTTGACCGTTATGGAATATCTGGTTCACAGATGAGGACGGATATGTTCCAATTGTCGTAACCTTCATTCCTTGTTTCCTATCGAATTAGTCTTATCACCAGGTTTGAACTTACACGAGCAGCACGACGGGTGCCACATGTGGAGTAGGATCTTCTAACTCTATCGGAGCACCATAGTTTTCCCCAGTTTTTAGTTGGGTTCGTGTTGCTCAGTCTTTTGTTTTCTATGCAGTGTTTTGTTTACTGCCGTTTGTCTGTTTGTCGTTTTTTCATTTTATTGCCATGGGTTGCCAGTTTTTCGGTAACTAATGAGTTTGAATATCCTTTTGGTATCTTTGGTATCTTTCGCCTGTCTTTTGTAAGAATTAGACATCCGTTTGAATTAGAACATGCAATATTCAGTAAATTATATTTGCAGTTGAAATATGTTGGCAATACGTATCCACGGATAGATAATCTAATATCTGGTTACATAAAATATTGAAAGGACTGTCTGATTTCCCTAGCTTTGAAACTTCATGAAAACACATTTAAACAGGGTATTTTAGATTTTGATTTAAAACAGCTTTGATGAATGCATAAGACAACATTTTGTAAATTAAATTAGATATTTAGCAATACAGAAGTTACTATCTTACCTTTCAAATGGCCGATTACAATAAATATATTCCTAAAAAAGTGTATGCAAAATTGTTATTGTAGCAATGAAATGGTATTGCAGTCTTATTATTTAAAAATTATGGTCTAAAAGTTTTGATTTTTTTCTCTAGGTACCAGACAGTTCGCCAACCTAATTGAAAAGAGTTGTGCGTTTTAAGAAGTTTTAAACTAATATTCTAGTGAAAACTTTGACCTGCAAATCTATCATTCATCTGATAAACTGCAGCATTCATATCAAGTAAAAATTTATTAAAACATCAATGGCGGTTCATTTTATTACCTCAATTTGCCCAAAGTATATTTAGCTCTGATGTACGACCCTGAACATTCCCTTTTCGCCTTCAAAGTTTTGTAAACCAATTCAAATGCAAAATAAGTGAAAAAGTTAGAATCAAACAATTATTATCTAACAGAGAATAATAAACAATGCAAATATTGCATATATCTATTCCATTTCCTCACAATGTGTACTATTCGTTTGCCTTTTTACATCCCTAAATTTAGCGCAATATTTCACTGTGTCTGATGTTTTCATATGCAATTATCACAATGGACCAACTTTGTCAATTTTCCTTTCACAAATATCACTTATATTTTCAATGCCTAATGGTGGTTTTTGTGATGCACATTCACAGCTGGGTCTGGATTCAGTTGATTTAAAATTAGCTAAAATTGTGGTTGAAAAAGAAAATCTTGATATCGTCCTTTATATTTTTTTTCCTTTTTTCTTCTTATTTTGGCATTTTTATTCTGGTAATTTTTTACCAATAAAGTATATGGCCGTTACATTTTGACCAACTTCATCAACTTTCTAAAATTCCCTTTAACATGTTTAAGTTTTCAGCAAACATTACTGTATTGTATGCAAGCGATTTCATATACAGCGTATCTGTCATAACATGAAGGGTTCTGACGGGTAGTATTATGACACATTATCATTTATATGTTGCAGTGGACCACAAGATGCAACGTCAAGTAGGTGAAGTATATGTTTTGGGATATTTGGTAAAACTAAAATTGAAAAAACAAACACTGTCAAAATTTGCATAATTACTTTTGAATCTTTGATTTTTTTAAGAGTTGTAGGATAGGGAATTTAGGATTTAAGAATAATATTAAGATTTCTATTGGACCACTGATTTTGTACTCCCCTTGATATATTTTCTGTCTCTTTGTGGACAAACTTAGAATTTTGAAGGATACTGTTGTGTTACATTGATATTAAATCTGTATCTGTGTTCCCTGTGAATAGACAGAAAAAACCCATTTAGTGTTATTTAAGGATAGCAAGCATATTCAACATGATGTATTGTGCGTTTGTTATTTAGTTATAATCGTTCATTCAATTGAAAATTGCTGACCGAACCCCTGAATGTGATTAATTTTATCTCATTTCCCGAAAAATACATTATTGTTGGTGTTCAATTGTATCATTGCAGTACATTTTAACCGGTTTGCTGCCTTTCTGTATGACAAGACAGAGAGAATCCAACTGGAGATGTCTGGTAAGTATTTATAATATAAAAAAATCTTTAAAAAGAAATTTTTTTTGGTATGAGCCTACTACTTTAATACTTCTTATCAGTATATTATATTATAATGATAAGAAATATTAAAGTAGTAGGCTCATACCAAAGAAAAAATTCTTTTAAAAGGACGAATTGTGTTTGGCTTTTACCATATAATTTTTTTTTTTAAATAAACTGTTGTATTTGTTTAGATAAACGTTATTAGAAACGTTTTATATTTCATCATAGTTTAACATTTTAACATGTAACATGGCCAGTTCATATACAAACAACAACAAAAAATCGCACATATGAATACGCGACTTCGTCAGAAAGTTTGAATTGACTCCTTATTCAAAAAAAGGAATACTTGATCTTTCAAATTGATAAGTCTTCGTTTCATCTTCTTCGTACCTTTTGTTAGGTATTTTAACCTTATTAGCTATATTACTGCTGTTTAAAAGTTCAATGGTTTTCCTTTGTTTTTTTCTGCATACTATTATGTACGTTTTATTAATCTACTGATCGAGGAAAGAGTTGAAATTTAAAAAAAACAGTTAATCCACGACATTTTCCCAATCAGTCACGTTACTTTTGAAACGATACCACGTGACCTAAAAAAGACAAATTATCTTCAAATTTAATTTTCGGAAATATTCAATTAATTATCTTTCATATGAGTCCAATATGGCTAGTGTATGGTCTTTGGTGCGAATGCAGTATTCAATTGAACTTTGGTAGTGTCTTTTGATAAGTAAAGGTCTAAAAAACCTGAAATGGGAAGGGTTAAGGATAATATTTCAATATAAACTAGAAAAAGCAAAGTCTCAGTTCAAAACATAGGAAATGTGAACATAAACGAATTAATTTTTATCATATATATGTTCATTTTCTCTTAATATTTGTTTTTCTCAGAAAATTAGTTTCATGGTGTGTAGCATAATTGGAGCATCAGTTTTTATTCCCACTATGTTCGGTCTTGCAGTTATTGGAGCAGCATTAGTAAGTAATCATGTTTATCATATTGGTTGCAAAGAATAACCGTAATTTCTCAGCGAAATAAAAACCGATAATTTTACATGTGAAATAAACTCGATAATTTCACTCCTCTGACGTCAAATAACATTAGGTGTTGTCAAGACGTTTTCGATGGTGGTGCATCAAAACAAATTCTGAATGCGTAGAAAAAGGTAAAGTTCCTTGCATTTTCTACTTTATTTCAACTAAAAAGCCCAATATCAATGTAATAAGAAGAATAATTAATCAAAGAATTAAAATATCAAAACATATTCATCCCGTGACCGAAAAACATTGATAATTAACTCATGAAGTAATGTGTTGCTCAGTCATTCGTTGAATATTTTTCTCTATTTGAATTCTTCGATGAGTTATTCTATAATTATCGAGTAGGAATAACAAAGTTATTTACATGGTTTATTCGTTATTAACCCATTTCTCTGACATCAGTTTATTGTTCTAACTGTAGATTATTTTTTCAGAAATTCACTGTCAAATTAAGGTTAAATAACAATCTTACTTTTAATTGTTTTAAACTTAAAAGAACCTTTCACATCTCAAAAAGGGTACTTTAAAGTGCTTAATTGATATTTGTTTTCCATTCAAGAGGGACGAACGATACAAGGGGGACAGTCAAACTCATAGATTGAAAACAAACTGACAACGCCATGGCCAAAAAATAAAAAAAAACCAGACAAATAATAGTACAGATGACACAACATAGAAAACTAAAGACTAAGCAACACGAACCCCACTGGGGGTGATCTCAGGTGCTTCAGAAGGGTAAGCAGATCCTGCTCCACATGTGGCACCCGTCGTGTTGTTTATGTTATTACATATCCGGTAACTAGTCTAATTCGGTAAGTCACATTCGTGAAAAGGGAAGGGTATTGTAGTTACGACATAAGGAACATATCAATATGCATTATGCATTATGCCTTTTGTTTTAATCATATTTCTTTAAAATTTGCCGCGGTGTTACTTATCTTATATGGGGTGTTTTTCTTAATTTTAGGAATTCGAGATTTGAAATTCAACATTCCTATGAAATCTAAATAGGGAATCATTATTACAATTAAATTATAAGAATAAAGCAGTACAATTATATAGCAATGCCAAAATATAAAAGGACAAAATGTTTATCACGAGATGAAAAAAGAGGCGAAGGATACCAAAGGGAAATTCAAGTCCAAAATAAACTGACCTGATGAGTTTAGCCTTTTGCAACTGATTTTTATAGTTTGTTCTTATGTTGTGCTGTTACACCACTATACCAGGTTAGGGGAGGGTTGAGAGCTCACAAACATGTTTAACCCCACCACTTTCTTTCTGTGCCTTCCCAAGTCAGAAGCCTGCAGTGTTATGGTGGTTGTCGTTGGTTGATGTCTGTCATATTTGTTTTATCGTAAGTTGTTTTGTTATAAATTATAATTAGGCCGTTAGTTTTTTCAATTGAATTGTTTCATATTTTTCATGTCGGGCCCTTTATAGCCGACTATACGGTATGGGTTTTTTCTCATTGTTGAAAGCCGTATGGTTGCCTATAATTGCCACTTCATTTGGTGGATAGTTGTCTCATTGGTAATCATACCTCATTTCCTTATTGTTATATTGACAACGCCATGGCTAAAAAAGAAAAAGACAAACAACAGTACACAAAACACAACAGAGAAAAACCAAAGACCGAGAAAGACAAGCCCTACCAAAAACTGGGGGTCTTCTCATGTACTCCGGAAGGGTAAGCAGATCTGCTCCACATGTAGAAAAAAATGAATCCCAAATTTTCCATAAAAACAGATATTCCCGATGTCAGGTTGAAAACATGGTTTGTTTTTCATAATCGTTGTAAGATGTGTTGGGCCGAACCTTATACAATTATTGTTATTACCCAACAGTTTAGCTGTAAATGATCTTCCATATAATTATGGACCTTGTCACATGCATATGTAACGTAAATATTTTGACTCTAGTTTGTCATTTTACATCGTGGCAAACAGTCGATTGTTTTAGTTTATGATACGTGGGAATAATGAGTTTTACTTTGTTTGATCATATGCAGTCCAAAAAAAAATCACGCCAACAATATAAGTTATCATGCTTTGACCAAACTAACACGATTATAAAGATAGTGTCGAAAATCGTTGAACGGTGAAGGAGAAAACCAAAACCGTTCATCAATTTTGTACACTGTCTAAATAATCATGCTAGTTGGTTCAAAGCATAATAACATTTTGTGCGGTTGTGCAAACCGTATTGAGTATATAATTGATAAAACGCTAAACACACAAATGATCTAGATTTCACTTCTCAAAACCTGACGTCAAATATACACATGCATATTCCGACCCCTGACCGGGTATTTTGACTGTAACTCTTAATGGGTATGCTCCACCCACTGATCGCGTAATCTAATGATCTATTGATTTCCATGTAGCTTATAGCTGATGTGTTCTTACGCTTTCTAAAGATGAAGCCTGACGATTTGACGATACAACTGATGAAGAAATCGAGCAAAAATGTTTGAAAATGAGTGCTGATAAAACAATAAAGCAGAATATAGCAGCTGCTACTATTTCCCGGTAGGGGGCTTCGGTGGCCTAGTGGTCTAAGTAGTCTAACTACTGTATCACTAGCCAGTCAACACTGAGGTTGTGAGTTCGATCCCGCACGGGGCAGGTGCACACGACTTAAATCTAAATTGACTAGGATTGTCAGTTTTCCTACCAAAGGTCGGTGGTTCTGTCCGGGCACTCCGGTTTCCTCCAACAATAAAAACTGGCCGCAACGAAATAACACAATAATGTTAAAAGTGGCGTTAAACACCAATCAATCAATCTAATATTTCAGTATTTAAAAGAAAGAAAACGGATCTAGGATTCGAACATTATGAAACATTAAAACTAGATGGAATAAATAGACTATTTGGATGTACGTAAAGCTTGTGGAAATCATTATAAAACAAATTCACTACAGTGCTTGAGATATTCATTGAATAGATATTTAAAGGTTCCACCGAACAATACACACTTTAACATTGTAAATAATGAAAGTTGTCAGCGCTTTCAGAGAAAATTCCAAAGCGGCAATGACAGAACTAAAACGCATGGGTTTAGGAGACGTCGAGCATTATACTTCTATTGGCGAATCTGACAGAAGAAAACTATATAGTTACTTCAATATATCTATCCCCAAGTACATCGTTTGGACTTTAAAATAACTTTAATTCGATATTCGTTTTTACTTTTGTCAACGAGGAATGGAAAATATGCCACAAATGACAAGTGAAAAAAGATCCGAAGACGGGGCTTAAATATGTTGTTAAAACTTTGGATGCGCTGACACAAAAAAAACAATTCAGCAGTGACAAAGAAAAGACTTGAGGAAAAATGTCCAAATATTCCGATTCTTTGTCCTCCTTTCGAAAGATTATAGATAAATTAAATCCTGCGTGTGACAAACTATGACATAGACCAAAAGATCAGTTCTGTGAGAAGGACCCTACATAGTATTACAACATTTCTGTGGGCGACAAAAACCTTGGCAATACTTGACATAAATGACATATTTGAGTTTGTCTGAAATCTACACAAACCATTCTATTCCATGTTACCGGGGTAACCGATCTAGCTTTAAACTCATATTGCAATGCACAGATAATGGCTTTTACTGGACATAAGTAAGTAGCATTTCTTTTTTTGTACCAGCGGGTTGATAATGACGATAAGATACGTATGGGGCAGACGTTAACAGAAAGAATCACGGAACCTTCCAAAGCATTAGCTGTAACTGTTGGTGAAACATCATCCAGTAATCGTGCTTTACCGAGTTCAAGTTCTACAGTGCCTCCTAACACTTTGCCAATTGGTTCTTCTTCTACAGTACCTTTTCTACCGAATATTTATACAGCAAGAAAGCAAGAAGTACCGGTGTCATGAGTACAGAACGTAGTTGTGTTACTTCTAACGTTTGACAAAATACGGAAGCACCGCTTTCATGAGTACATAACATAGTTGTGTTACTTATAACGTTGAAAAACAATACTCTATATGCATCTGCTAAGGAATACAAATCACCGCCTTTGAAATTTAGAGGACTCTTGCCGTGAACTACCTTTAAACCAAAGCATTTAAGTTCGAACCCACGAGGAAACAGTACACAAACATTTAATAATCATTGAAAGGCGTCAATCTTAATGAATTGTTCAATGATTTTACTGTTGTTTATAATAATATAATAGAGGAAGAACAGAACAGATTTAGTCATTGAAGATATTTTTATTTGAGTTTGGTTTAAATTAATAGACAGTGGTCGGGAGCATTTCACCTTATTTCATTCTAACTTATCTTATTTTTATTTGTTGTTTAGATTTCTAAGGGTTTTCTGGATGAAAAGCATTTTTTACATCTTTTATCAATTTTAATTTTGTATGATATATTACAGAAAAGTATAATGAATGCATTTTATTTGAATTTTTCTCGATTATAAAACGCCCTGGATTACGTCGTGCATGTATAGATTTAAACGAGTTGAATATTCCACACGTGGACCGGTTAAAAAGTCAACGTGTCGTCTCACCTAATGCAATACACTAGGGTTGTCACGATGCAGGGTGTTCCTTGTTTTTTTCTAGCACACACTATTCAAGGTCAAGTCAACAGGTTATAACGCGATTGCTTGTTAGCTACAGGCACATGACTTGTAAGAAGTTTTTTTTTTTTTGAGCAATTTCATTGAACTTTGTATAGCGAACATGATTATTTAGCAGATGGCCAGGCAGCCAGTAGAATCAAAGTTTACAACTGCATACCTTCGACGATGACGATCAAGCCTATCGGTGCCTATATCATATATCGGAAATTCAATATATTGATACACCATATGCTGAAGCACAATTAGGTCTTCACTTTAAACAACAATCGCAGAATCAAATATCTATTACATTTTAAGTTATATTCAACTTTCCCTTACGTTTATAATGCCTATAAATATACATGAACCGTGTTGATGCAACTATTTCAAATTCGTTAAAGAGTAAATAGACAAAAAAAAAAATTTATTTAGGCAGTTCCCTTGATTTTATGATCAAAACCAAAAATAGTCGTTTTACACGAAGAGGGTTATATGATAATTAATATGAAGTAAAGGATTTGGGAATATTATCAACTCGCGACGTCGACTGATGTCGGTCTTCAGTTACCTTTACCGAATCCTCTTTTTTTCATAAATTGTCTAATACCACATAAAAATAATCAATGTTAGCTAACGATGAAATCATTGAAAAATAAAAAGAAAAAAATATGCACTATATAGTCCATTCCCCTGTAGAATCGTAAAGAAACTAAAATGAAAATTGGGCCAAAAGGTTACGATATTTCACTTGACGGCCATGATTATGTTATGGACGTTTTGAGTTTATTTTGGGATCTAGTTGAATTGATTAGGTCAAATTTTGGAAGTTGATGTGGCATGATTTTGTAAAACAAAACTAACTCTAAAAACTATTTAAACAAAATCAAATGCGTGGGCACTAAGACCCGAATGAAGTTAACATCATATGTCTAAATACACTAATATTCTACAACTTGTAAATTACTGATCGTTCAGATGGCCAAGCAATGTATCCTTTAATCTGAATCTCAAGTTGGAACTATAGAAATGTATTTTTTGTCTTGTGAGTTACCATTGCAAATTCAAATCTGTTAAATATTTGATTAAATTACTAATTTTGTATGAACTCTATGGCAAAGCAAATGGCAATAAAGATACGTATCGGAAGTCAAATTTTCATCAATTTTCCTTAATCTAGGGTGTACATTTTGCACAAATATAATGCCATAAAATCCTTCACATGAAAATCGTTTCGCATAAACGAATGTTGATTCTAATGGGACAGTTTCAGTTTCTTTAAGATATCAAAGCAATTGGTTTAAATCTTTTAGAATTCTGCATCACACCCACAACCTCCTCCATCCAAGACAAGACCTGACAGTTAAAACAAGTCGAAAGAAATTAAATCGTATTACACCCATGCATATGAGCAAAACTAGTATATTGAAAAATCTACAATAAGTCTCTTTAGTGATGCTTGGGGCATGGGACATTGTAAAGTCAAGAACGAATAAAGTTCTGAAATATTATTGATTATATTTGGTATATGTTTTTATTTCTCATCTATATGTTGTTAAAAATAGTTAAAAGTATAAGAACGATTTAGCTGCTTATACATTGTTCTTCATAACAATAAATATACTTATTTCATATAGGAAAGAATATATTTTTTAAAAACGATATTTTGAAGATAAACATAATTTCAAAACTAATTATTCACTGAGATACAATTCATTTTTCGGGGGAAAAAAAATAAGGTATTTAGAATAATGTTTATCATGTATGGCCGTGCTTACAAAGAAGCTGCATGGACAATATCTGAATATATCAACATGACAAAATTATACCATCTTTGCCAGATGTTTTTCCTTTAAATAGAATAAATATTTTTGGTTGATGAGCTGAGGAATGGCCTATGGTTACCAACAGAGTTTTTTCTATTTTGTGCTAATTGAATCGCTAAGGGCAATTGTTGTTCCAACACATCTTTAACAGCCAATTAAACTAATTAGGTGCACAATGATAATTTTGTAGATAATAATTTAAGCAACTGTGTCATATGCATGAGGAACGTGTATCTAAAACTATTGTATTTATTGCGTTTTACCCAAAATTCCAAATGCATAGCGCTAACTCCTCTCAATAATCAAATGAACACCTATTGTCATATATAATACTTATATATTATAAAAGAAGATATATAATTGTTAAATCTTTTAAATGTGACACTTAAAAGACGCAACAACTGGCTGACTAGCGTCTCGACGCAAATTTCAAAAGTATATATTATCCATTCAGGGGAAGTGTTTGTTTGTGGTTTGATTCTAGCAGCGACATTTGTTCTAATTCAAACCATATTTCCCCAAAAAGATCTTTATTTGCGATGGTTTTTGTGTGTGTTCTTAAGTTGCTTTATCTCATTAAAGTATACTCCTTATCATATCGCAAGTTTGTATTTTACTTTTTTTTATTTATTGGTCTTTACATTATATATTGCAGCGAGACCTTCATGAACCTAAAGTTGTGGTTACCTCAGCTTTGCTGGCTGTTCTTTCTTTTGCTGAGTTTGTAGTGGCAGTTATTGCCGCTTCATTCTGCTGCTGCTGCTCTGCATGGGGAACATCAAATCAACCGGTAAGGAAATTATATCATACTTGTGTATAAAATTTATTTCCGAATATCATTGGGAAAACTTTCCAAGACATAAACATCACATTTCTTAATTGTTCAGACTAATGCACTTTTATGATTGAAGTCTTTTAAAGAATTAACCAACAAAATACAATATTTCAGGCTCTATATTGCCCCGAGTGTACACACGTTGGGTATAAATTTAACAGGAAAAATAACAGGAAAAAATTAACACCCCAACTTGTTTAATAACTAAAAACATTAAAAACGAAAACAACACTTTATAAACTTCATGCGTTCAAAGCGTTTTTCTGGATTCACATTCTACTTAGCTTAATGCCGAATATTTGAGAGCTACGGATGTATAAGAAACGAAACGGTTGATACATTAAGATATGACATATTGCCTCTTCCGACAAGATTCCGACTAAAGACAAATATACGAATATGTGGCGGGGTGAAACTTGTTTATTGTGATCTCAATCCTCCCCTTTAAATACAACATCGAACAGAAGATTAAAAAAAAAACCTTAATATAAGAACACACTTTAAAACAACACGGGAAAAGCACCCAGCTTTAAAAAAATTCATACATAACAAAAAAGGAAAATGAATAATAAATTTTACAGTATTAAAAAATACTTTCAATAACTGATATCAAGCTCATAGGACAACATACCTAACATGCCGATAAGAAAGTATTATTGGTGGCTGTACTTCACAGAAGATTTCATACATGAACTCCATACAAATTACAGGATTACATGACATTATGCAATATATTTAAACAAACTGAAACCAAAACATAAACATAAACATTTCATGTTTGCTTCAAACTATAAATTAGCGAATTAAAATTTTCAGAGATTTTTGAATAAGGATCTGACATGTATTTTAGAAAGTTTGATTTGATTATTTTTGAAACCATTTGTTTCTAATTCTTTTTTTGAGAAATGGTTTTATTCCATACAGCTAGAGCCTGAATTGAGTAGTCAAAAGTGAATAAAAGGAGTAAAAGTATGTCATCAATTCGGGCCTATAAAGGAAACATTAATTTATCTAAGCTTTTTTTATTTAGTAATTGGGGCCTTTGTATTTGATAGACTTACAGATTTCGCTAGCTGTTTTTTACTATAAAATCATCATTGTCAGTGCTAAAACACCAACTGCTGGAAGGGAAATCCTTTTTATTTTAAAATTGCCTGCATCGTAACTTTTCAATTATATTTAGATATAACATTTCATATCTGTAAATTTGTTTTATGTATTAATAGGGTGTAATTTTTGTTAATGGAACACAACCTGGGCTGATTCTTAACCTACAACAGACGCAGTTACCCATGGCAAATGCCCAACCTGTAGTGATGACTAATGGACAAACAACGACGATAGTTCAAAATCATAGAGCGCATCAGTATCAAGTGATGAATACAAATGAACCGACTGGACAACAAATTCAAACTGTTGGTGGACCACATGTATTAATTAACAGTACACAACCAGATTTTTCTACCAATCCACCTCCTTACAAACAGTAAAGGAAATAGATATTGTAAAATGAATGCGTCTGTATACTTAAACGAAATGACGGCCAACAAACTTTAGATAACGTTTGTAAAACTTTCGAAGCAATGATACCTTTTACCACTTTGAGCCCCTTATTGTGTACCGTGGATGAATGCGTTGTGTATAGATCGTGTTTATTCAACGTCTAGCCATTGCTATAAATAAAACGTCATAATACATAAGTTTCAGGTAGCTACGTTAACATATATGAAATCGCGCTAACTTCGGGCCGACAAAAGTCAAAATATAAAAATATCAATTACTTTAAATGCCAATCGAATAGATATTACTGAAAATAAAATAATCGATTGGCCTTTTAAAACAAATTAAAATAATTCTCTTATTAACGGCTTCCACTTTTAAAGAAGTCTATTCAAATCATACAGGTGTCCGCTAGTAGTTCACTTGTTGATAGTCCATTTTTTAATGTTCTCTCGAGCTCGCACAGATGCCTCTCGTTTTGGTAGAATTTTTGTCGATCTCTCTGTTGAAGATAATTTTTGTCCTCTAAGTTGTTAATGTATTTTTGGATTTCGAGCGGGTACAGTTTAACTATAGAGCATGATGAATGTCCTGCACAAGTTCGTATTATAGCTACTCGTGCAAAAACATCTTTTCCAGTTACCGATTCATCAACAACATCAGTTTATCATCTTGGACTTGAACTACATCTCGAATAGTACAGTTTGTAAATTGTTTCCTGTTTGGCGATGAAATTCTCTGAGTGTCGTTATATACTCGGATTTCCACCAGTTCCAAAAATGTTCCATTAAACTCAACTGTTTATTCAAATGTTTATACAGTACCTGTTTTCACTATTCACGGCAATGTATTCAATTTTCGTTAGTGGGTATGGTGTTAAAGATATCCCTCTTCCGTACAGTAAGTGTGAAGGAGTTAACGGCTCCTCATCCTTAATATCCGGTGATACGTAGGTCAATGGTCTATCATTAATGATGGCTTCTATAATTGTCACAATGTTTTGAAGTGTATCTATGGCAACGTAAGATCTACCTAATGTTAACCCTAAACAAGTCTTTGTAATTCCGATAAAACGTTTCCACCATCCACCATAATATGGCGCTCTTTTCGGTATAAATTTCTAATTTGTTCCATATGTTGACAATGTATTGTTTAGCGATGGTGACTGGGTTAATTTCTTCAATGTTTCCGAGGCGGCTAAATATGTCGAAGCGTTATCCGAAATCATGGTGTGTTGTATAGATTTACAACTAGCGAATCCTCTAAAGGCTTGTAAAAATATTTGTTCTGATAGATCCGGTACAACAGGTGTACCTCTCTCGTTGAAGCACACGTAAATAGACAAATAGACATATTAAAACCTTGTTTTCAGTATCATGTTTATCTCTAACGTACAGAACCTCAGTAAAGTCGACGGCAGTAACTGTAAAAGGCTCCGCTTCCAGGAATCGAACTTTCCTGAGTGGCGGCGGTTCAGGTGCTGTATATGGTTTACTGTTGATTGTTTGGCAAATTACGCAATTTCGTAAAATTCTTTTTACGTATTGACGAATCCGAGGTATCCAGTAAGTTTGTCGTATCTGAGTCACTATTGATAATACTCCTACGTGTGTCATGTACTTATGTATATCAAGGACAATTAATTTCGTAAAAGGATGATTTTTTGGTAACAAATAAGGAAATTTCGTATTTTTTACATACAGGTGCGTTATGAATTCTCCCACCACAGCAAATTGTGTCTTTGATATTTAGGTAGAATACAAGTTGTCTCACGAAAACAGTTGGCATAATATCCATTAATTTCAAGTTTAAAATTTCGTCCTTAAATGTAGTTCATTGGCAAATAATTATCCAACACTCTGTTGCATCATGATATTCCACTCTTGAAACGTTTTCTCTATAATATTGGCGAACGGCAGTTTCGTATAAATCGAAATACATAAGTTGTTATTCGTAGTAATTATGATAATGTACTATATCCAGTAATTTGCATAATCTGATGTTCACCTGGTTGATAATCTATTTCATTATCTTTTGTTGGGCAATATCTCCATTATTGTGTATTTGTCAATTTCCGTGTTTCCGTAAATCTATTTCTTATGAATTTTGTCAGTTGCTTTGATGTTGATAACCACTGTAGTACTATCTGACTGTCTGACCAAAACGTTATGTCTTTCTTTTGTTAAACTGATGTAACGTGATCGGCTATTCGTGCTCCAATCAATGCGGCCATTAATTCTAGCTGTGGTAGTGTCAGTTGTTTGATTTTGTTTGCAATAATTGAAAAATATCCATTCACATCTGTAAGCAAGATATTCCATGACGGCCAACACACTCTAGATAACGTCTGTAAAACTTACAAAGTGTTATACCAATTTTACTACTTTGATAGCTCGCTAAACCTCCCAATTGTATAACATTAGTTTATAGTTCCGTTATATTACGTGCAAGATTGAGAAGTCGGCTAATATTCGTGGTAAAATGTGCTTGTTACTTAATCTAGAACTTATTTCAAAGACGATTTCCAATTTGAAGTGTTTCTCTGTAAAAAAATAACTCTACCTGTGTTAAATATCATTGTTGTTGTCCAGAATTAACGAAAAAGAAGAGATGTGGTGAATTATTATACAAAATCGTTTATCACACTAAACAGAACAAAAAAGCAAAGGAACAACATTTTTTTAGCTGCTTGTCATCTAAAATTCATAGTGTGATCTTCTTCACGATCCAAAACCGCATATCATATGACAAATTCATAACGACGATTGCGCAAATTTGACCGGAATTCTTTGTGTGATACCTAAAATCTAACCAATGATGTCATGACTTGACCAGCCATCTTGTTAACTAATATACAAATAAATGAGACATATATCCACACTAAAATAGAGTACTTCAAGAAACGTGTTTGATATTTTGACAAGATATAATAACAATGTAAAATGGCGAATGAAACACAGTAACAAATGAAAAATTTGGAGACAAAACATTGACAGAGAAAAGGTATAGAAGAATACATATGAGCAGTGGTCGTTAGAAGAAAAAAACGCATATACAACAAAATAATTAGATGTAGATGTGTTTCTCGTTTCCCGTTTTTATATAGATTAGACCGTTGGTTTTTCCGTTTGAATGGTTTTACACTATTAATTTTTTGGGGCCCTTTATAGCTTGCTGTTCGGTGTGAGCCAATGATCCGTGTTGAAGGCCGTACCTTGACCTATAATGGTTTACTTTTATAAATTGTAACTTGGATGGAGAGTTGTCTCATTGGCACTCATACCACATCTTCCTATATCTATCGCATGTATGAGGGGCGTCAACCTCGAAAATATAAGAAGACTCCATCTGCTTTACATAGCAGTAAATTAATAGATAATTATCTTACCTTTTTTCTTGTTCTAAAAAGAGCAATTTGTGTTTGATAAAACAGGAATCGTGTCATTATTTCAAATTTGTCAGATGTAGAAGATGTTTAATAGTTATGCATTTGGAATAAAATGTTAAATGCGTCTATTTTTCTGTCATCAAATTAATACATAAACACTTGTCTGACAATATGAACCCCTGCTCTATCTTGTCTTTTTTTTGGTTTAATTTTCAAAACCTGGACGTTTTGTTGATAATTGATAACACGTCTATGTACGTGTAAATTATATAAGAGCCAAAATTTAACACATGGATAAAATATTAATGCTTTTTTAGTTCTGTATAAGTTACATCCCATATAAGCGACCTTTATTCACACAATACAGATTATAAATCGTTCTAATTGATTCATGAAATATTACCCACCAAGGAAGCTATTTAAACAGATATTTCCAATTTGCAATATAGTTTGTTTTTGTTCCATTACAAAAAGTACCGCACAGTCAAAAAAGGTATGTAAAACATTATTTAGATTTTTTTTTTATATATATCTCATAAATGAACATTGATTTTAATATCTACAGATCTATTTGAAACAATCGCTTGCTCGAATCATCCTATTATGATAACGTTTTTTTTTATTTATGTACGTTACATTACTAAACAAAATCGCTTGTTTTATGTATTATTAAATTATATTTTCACTAAGAATCACTTAACGTTACTGATCTGTATCCAAAATCGAACACAGGGGCAAAATGAAAGTTTTGTCTTAATTTTGAAAAACGTTATAAATAGAGAAAATCTTACAGGGCAAAACATTATCCACATACTTCAAAACTGTCAGACGACTTCTTATAGGAGTTATTGCCCAAAAATGAGAAATTTTACCCTTTTTTTATTTTTTGCCAATATCTTGAAAAATATAATAGAGTGAAACTTTAATCGCAAAAATGATCAGCAAGACAAGTTCAACAAATAAGTCTGATGGTCGAAATTGTCCGTCGACTCCTCATTAGATTTATTGCCCTTTAGTGATGTTTTTTTACCAATTTTGCCTTATATCTTAAAAATCATAATAGATAGTTAGAAACTTAAAGAAGCAAAAATGATCAGCAAGATAATTCTACAATTAAGACAAATGGAAGAAATCGTCTGACGACTCCTTATTAGAATTATTGCCCTTTAATGACGATTTTTACCATTTTTGTTTGCGTTTTGCCTTATTGACAAAAATTAAAATAGATAAATAGACACTTCATATCACAAAAATAATCAGCAAGGCAATATCTACTAACAAGTCAAATTTTCCCGATATAGTTAGTAGACTGTCACTCTTTATAGGAGCGATTGCCCTTAAATGGAGATTTTTTATCCACTTTTGTGTTTTGAGCTAAAACTAAAGAGGATAGAGAAAAACCAAACAGACTTAATGATCATCAATACAAAATCAACAAAACAGAGATTTTTGTCATGAATTCTATTCTCGTTCATAATGTTGGAGAGTGTCCTTTATGGAATATGCACATATACCAAGGTGAGTACACAGGCTCTTTAAAACCTCTATGTTGCTTTTGGCACAAGGATAATAGTTACGCTAAAAGGGGCCCAGAGGTATCCTCTATCAATAGTTCTATTCTGCGCAGTAATATTAAAGTTCTAGAAATAAAACAATGGGTCTGGAAATTATAAACTAAACTAAACTTATTTATATCGGAGTGCTCGCGTAAACTTTAGTTAAGTATAGTGACAACTTGAGCAAATGTTTTACCGTAAATTACAGAAAATTTAGCTCAACTTTATAGAATATGTATATGTAGAACCGCCACAACCTTCTCAATAAAACAAAGTCTTATCACAACAACATATGATTTAACTGGAATTCACTGACTTAATGTACCATATAAAACAAATATTGACTTCAAAATCATTGTAACGTTTTTTATATGATTTCCAATGCTTTGGGCACATGGAATAACTGATATTTTTTTATCAT